CTTTCCCATGCACAACCCCTTACTGGACTTCTCTTCCACGATTAACCCTCTCGCCGTTTAAGCTGCCTCGTCTTCTCGTCAGATTAGTGAATAATACACATGTGTCCATATTAAGGAGTGGTCCTCGTCACCCAAGGCTGGCTATTTTCTCAACACATTCCATGTGCCTCACTTCTTCCCGTTATAGTTTCTTTCCTCATACGAAATTCTTCTTCTTCTTCTTCTCATCATCATTATTATTGTTTTGATGACTAATTTTGAGGGGTTCTCGTGGTCTAGAGGTTAAGGTGTTCGACTCCGGGTTTATTTGTTTTGGTAAGTGTTTTACGGCGCTCGCAACTGCATACGGTCATAATGCGCGGGACACATTAAACATTTTTCATTTGGTAGGAAATTTTGATTTTTTTCCCGGGTGGCGTCCGAAGCCTACTCTTATAGATTTTTAGACCACCAAAGGATCTTTAACGAGCGCAACTTGAACACGGGACCTCGGAAATTTTGCGCCCTTGTCCGAGAGGGCTAGGTGTGGATCTTTCCTACCAGAAGATCAGGGATGGGGTTGAAAGAGAGCAGTAAGAAGGTGCCAAGGAGTAGCAGTAGAGAGGCTACAGAAAAAGTCAAGTGCTCATTGGAGGGGGCAAAAGGAGGTGAGGGAGTGGGGGCAGACATTGGATACGAAAACAGATTACAGAACATTGGTAGAGAGCAGGAAAGGAGGTGAAAGGAGACAATTTAAAAGAAGAAAATGTTTCGGTCTCTACCCGGATTCAAACCCGGTACCTTTGAATGAGAGGCGAACACCTTAACCTCTAGGCCACGAGAGCCCCCGTCCCAAGTTTGAATCCGGACAGCGACCGAAAATGTTCTTTTCTAAAAATTCTCTCCAATCACATCATTTCCTGCTCTTTTACAATGTTCTGTCGTCTGCTTTCATCTCCCCTTTCTGTCCCCACCCCCACACCTCCTTTGCCCCCCTCATCTGGGCTCCTGACTCTTTCTGAAGAATTTCTACTGCTGTTCCTTGACTACTTCTTACGGCTGTGTATCAGCCACAGCCATGATCTTATGGTAGGTAAATTCTAACACTTAGTCTTCTCGGATAAGGGCAAAAATCCTCGGAGGCCCCGTATGCAAATTGCGCACGTCAAAGATCCCTTGGTGGCCAAAATCGACTAGAATAGTCTTCGGCCGCCACCCGGGCAAAATTCGAAATTTCCTACCAAATGAAAATGTTCAATGTGTCCCGCGCGCTCACGACCTCATGCAGTTGCGAGCGCCGCAAAACACTTACCAAAAACAAACAAACAAAAAGATTTATTTTATTTACACTTCTACAATATAGAACCTTCGGTTATTTCAGAAGGCCCCCATGCCAATTGTGTGCACAGTATTTCACAGTGTGCTGACAGGGTTTATTGACCTTTGTCTCTGAGACTGAGCTTAAGCTATTCGAGTTTATTTCGAGAAGGCACTCGATTTAAAACTCATTAACATTTACGTTTGATAATACTTCACATCTCTGTCACAGTGGACAAAATCCTTCAATATCCGTTCTGTATCCCTTCAGTTCTTGTACCTTTGTGCAAATTTGCAGATCCTCTAGAAGTCTAGCTTCAAAGCAGGCTGGGAATTCCAAGCAACCTGCGCCCTATCTATAGAAAATTCGGGAAATAGGAACAAAGAATTTCCATTAGCGTTTCTTTCGACAACAAACTACGCATTGTTTTGAACAGGGGACGTTACTCTATTAGATGACAAGCGTGCTGTCGCCGGCTTGCCAGCGAAAAAGCCAGGGGGAGACTACCGCCTCCTCACGCCTGGCTGATGGTCGGGACCAGACGATTGGAAACAAAAACAAGATAATCTCCACCATCTGTTGTTCGTGTTCAGACTTTGGGGGCGACTAACATTCATAATCTTGGTTTATTTTTTATAGTAGAGGGTTTTACGGCGCTCGCAACTGCATAAGGTCATATGAGCGCCAATATAATCTTTGTTTGTGCTTCAGCATTTTTTCTTTTCTTTTTATTCTAAGTGTATGTCCTTGGTAACCGACATGTCCTCATTTTCTTTACAACTAGCCTAATCCTTTTCTATATTTCTGGTGTCATGTTTCAGGTGATGTACCCTATGATTCCAAGCAA